GTGTGCGTGTGTGTGTGGGTGGGTGGGTGTGTAAGTGTTAGTCGTGTGGGGATGCCCCCTTACGGGGGCGTACGTGTCTTTTGGTGTATTTGTCTGTCTGGTATATTGTTTGTCGGGGGTCGCAATTTTAAAGAAATGTATTTTAAAGTAATGCAAATAACTGATAAATAAGTTAAAACTTACCTGGGCATAACCCCGGGACAGGTACCTGAACAAAGATGCCGACGGCCTCTATGCTTAGCCGGGGATTAGGTCGGTGATTAAAAGGAAAGAAAGGGATTCTTTCCAGGTAGCCTTTATAAAGGCAGGTAGATTTTGCTCGTTGCAATCACTTCACCTCACAAACAAGCACGTCCGCTCAGCTCGGCTGTTCGTACTGAACTGCCGTTCAACCGATGCTAGAAATGACTTTAATTGATTAATTGATGATGACTTCTAGCTGACAACTGTTCTAGACTGAGCTCGATCGACTAACTCGATCGACTGACTTCATGGACGGATTTCATCGACTGGAATCATACCGTGTTACGATCCGCTGAAAACCAATCAGATTGCTAGATTTCGGATCGTAAACGCGTTATGATTCTGAAATCATGAGTAAAAGAAAACAGCCTATGATTCTGAAATCACTAATAAATGAAAACAGCTTATATCTCTGGTTCCGAATTGCGGCGACACGAACAGATGAAAAATAACGAAGTCTGTGGCGGGCTTTATACATGATCACTTCACTTCATTTTTAAATGAACTGTGGTCCGTGGTGAAATCAGTGATACCACGTAATTGTGGCAAAAATTAAACATTATTTTTCCCTGTCCGTGAGATTGTTTACTATATTTTAGTTTTAGAAAATATTTTTTTATAAGAAAATACATCAATTACAAGGGTAAATAACATGATTTATATTTAATCTGAATGTATAATGAAATATGTAAGTTCCAGATGGATCATTCTAGAACAATCGTTCACATAGACCTTGACTGTTTTTATGCTCAAGTGGAAGAATTAAAAAATACAGAATTGAAAACATTGCCGTTTGGTGTTCAGCAGCAAAATTTTGTAATCACAAGTAATTATATTGCCAGGGAATATGGAATTAAAAAGTGTATGTTAATTTCAGAAGCAAAAAAGTTATGTCCCAACTTGATATTAGTCAGAGGTGAAGACTTACACGATTATAGACAAATTTCTTATAAAGTGACAAGTTTACTGCAGAAGTACTCTCATTTAGTGGAACGTTTAGGTCTGGACGAGAATTTTATTGATGTCTCTAAATTGGTTAGTGAAAGACTACAAAATGGGGCTGAAATTAGTATAGTTGGAAATATCTTTGGGGATATTAGCAGTTTATGTGACTGTGGCTGTAGTGATAGATTAAAGGTTGGAACTGAAATAGCTCAAGATATGCGTGAACAAATAAAAAATGAACTGAATTTAACATGTTGTGCAGGCATTGCTCATAACAAACTTTTAGCCAAATTAATAGGTAGTAAACATAAGCCTGACAACCAAACTGTTATATTTCCCAATAGTGCTGTTGAATTAATGTTGAGTTTAAATAATTTATCGAAAATTCCAAGTATAGGACTTGCTCTTGGCAAACAGTTATCTAATATGAATATTAAAAGTGTTAGTGATCTCCAAGAATCAGACTTTTTAAAGATAAAAAAGTTGTTGGGGCCTGAAAAAGCTAAAACTGTTTATGATTTAAGTTTCGGAATAGATCCTAGTCCTGTGAAAAGTTCAGGTAAACCTCAAAGCATTGGTATAGAAGACGCATGTAAATCAATATCTGCCGAAAAAGAAGTGAAAGAAAAATTGAAACAACTCCTGAACAGACTTTTGATTTTAGTGGCTGAAGATGGTCGTATACCTAAGACGGTAAAATTAACTGTACGAAAATTTGATAAAAACAATAAGGTTAGTACCCGAGAAACAAGACAGTGTAACATTAACACATCGTTATTCGATATAAAAAGTTTATCAAAACTGTCAGAGAGTAATGAAAACAAATTAATGACCACTATCATGAGACTGTTTACCAAAATAGTTAAAACTGATAAACCATATCTCATAACATTGTTGGGTTTAGCGTTTACCAAATTTCTTGAAAAACCTAATGAAAAAAACAGCACATTAACCAACTTTTTAATCAAAGATATAGAAGTGCAGTCTGTAACAAACATTGAAAATTTAACTTTTAGCAACACTACCCCTGATATTTTACCTTCAACATCATACGTGGAAAACCCTGAAGCAGAACCGGAACCATCTCCTAAAAAATGCAAATTTAGTAATTTGATAGCAAAAAAACGATTTTTCAAAGAGCAAGATGACTGTGCTTCTCCATCTAAGTTAAAAGTTGCCGAACTGAGGTTAAATTCAACTGAGAAACCTACGGACACAAATCAAAACATTTGCTGTCCCCCAAATGCCAACAAAGAAGTATTTCAGGAACTGCCTAAGGACATACAACAAGAGTTGTGGGAGGAGTATAAACAGAGTAGAGATACAGACAGAGCATGTTCGAGTAACTTGAAAAAATCCAAACCAAACAGTATATTAAACTATCTCGTAAAGCATTAGCTTACAAGTTCTTATCCTTTTCTGCTGAAGATATAGATTTTAAACATTAAAATTATAGTGTGACAGATATAATATGTGATATGTACTTTTTATATACAATGTTAATGTTATTGCCACATATTTTATTTCAGTTCAAAAAAATGCAACGCGTACTAGCCATTTTTTATTGAATTTGTTATATTAAGTTCTTTATGATCTAACTAATTTCTAACATATGTAAGTATACAAAAAATAAATATATTTTATGTACAGAATGATCGCTATATCTTGGCTTTTTTTTCAATTAAATGGATTATTTAAATTTTGAAAAGAGTGTTATACAGGGTGCCCCAGTGTCAGTGTACAAAAATTTACCAGGGGGTAGACCAGACCAAAATAAGACTAAAATTCTTATAAAATATTTTTCTGCGATGCACTCCCACTGAGTTACAGGGTGTTGTTTAGAAAAAATAATAACTACAATAACTCAAAAACCCTTTCTGGGATTTAAGTAATTTTTGGGTGAAGTGTACATTATTAAAGGTCATTAAATGAATAATTATTTTCTATTTTTATTTTTAATTATCTTTAATATTGTTATTTTGCTAACATAATTTCGTTTGTTACATAATTTTCAATTTTAGTTTTAGTTCCCCTATAAGTAGGTAACCAAACATTAAATAGTTCATAGAAAACTTGTTTAGTTTATTCATATTCATTGAGCGCAGCTACATAGGAAACTGTACCTCAACGGTAAACAACTTTGTTTTTTATAATGACAGGTACCTACTAGATAAAAAGAAATAAAATATATATGCATTTTTCTACGAACTAATGCTGTCGATACTTTAAACTCAATTTATTCGAAAACGGTTCATTTTTGAGCTGTGAAACAAGAGCACATTTTTTGTTCAGAATTGATTGCGGATTCAGGAAAATGTAATCAAATTACATAAAACTAGGATATGCAAAAGTTATGAAGACAAAACCTAGAGGACAAGTTGGCCTAGGCCGCCCCTGGCGTCAAATCGAAATAAGTACCATGTAGTTTTAATGACCTTTAATAGATGTGCACTTCACCCAAAAATTACTTAAATCCTTGAAAGGGTTTTTGAGTTATTGTGGAAAGTTATTATTTTTTTCTTAATAACACCCTGTAACTCAGTGAGAGTGCATTGCAGAAAAATATTTTATAAGAATTTTAATCTTATTTTGGTCTGGTCTACCCCCTGATAAATTTTTGTATGCTGACATTGGGACACCCTGTATATTTTCAGTGGCTGTCACTCGAGTATAGAATAAAAAGAAAATTACTCGTGTGTTCACATCATATTTCTTAGAAATATACCTGTTTTGGTATGACTAGAAAGAACTTTTAATTGTAAATTTTTTCTGTTTTTCATTTTTTGTATGTGAATGAGATATGAGTAGATGGAATTCACTTTCCTGAAATTCTTAACCCTAATATACAACAAAGTTAGTTAGAAGTGTTTATTGGAACTTTTTTCCTCAAAATGTATATATCCAAAGTTATTTTGTAAAATGAATCAAATTTATGTAACAGTTTACAAATGTCATTGTCGTTATGCTATATTTTAGCGACTGTAGAATTTTTTGTAAATTGTCAAGTAAATTTGATACATTTTGCAAAATATTATGTTTGTTTCTTTTTTAGAAAAATTTTCTCTAATCTTATTTGTTTTTTATCTGAAAATTTTAGAGAAGAGATTTCAAAAATGTTAAATGGGGAGTTTTATAACTAACAGTTCTTTCCAGCAGCATCAAACCAGAGTAGTATGTAGTATGAATATATAACCAAATTTTTTCATCCTACAGTTGAGAGAATCGTTTTGAGGATTTAGTTATAAGTTCATTCGCCTTTAAGCATTTCCCAAGATAAATCGTTATACTGTACATAATGTATATCATCCAGAAGTATCAATCACAATTTAGTTTCTTATTTTTGGTTGTTTTGCAGACAAAATTATTAAACCATTGTGAATTAATTATTCACAAATCATTTAACGAACAAATAAGTAATGTATAGGCGACAGTTATACATTTCTAAAATTAATCTCAATGAAATTATGTAAACCATTGCAAAGTGCTGATGTATAAAGAAGAATCAAATAATTTGAATTAATATGAGAGATGGGAAAAATCAGTGGCAGCTAGTGAGAATTAAGTATTCATATTTTGATAAACCACCACTTTATAGAGGATGATTTCTAGGTCCAGGTCCACACGGAGAATTTTCATAAGAAATTTCAAAATAAATTTTAAATAAAAGATTAAATTAAGCGTTAGCAGCTCTGAGATCTCAAAAAGAATGTTTTCTAATAAACTGGTAGAAGCAAATAGTATTTTTATTTTTCTCAAAATTTTCGGTTATTAGTCATTAGGTCAGTACCAAATTTTGAAAAATAAAATTAAGTCAAATTAAAATTTATATAGGTACAAGCACAAAAGAAATAATTTTGTGAAAAATTAAAAAAACGAGTAGGTATCTCACTTGATTATGGAAAAAATAAATCACCTAAAAAACAGTATCGGCCCTTTCTCAAAATATGACGAATTTAATTTTCACGAGCGGTACTGAAAAAGTAGTTTAAAAATATATATGATTTTGATTTCATGTCGATGATGTCATCAAATTTTATAATAATCTTTTTACTTTTATAAAAGTTTATATCAGAGACAAAGAAAAATAAAGTATGTACTACAAAATAGTGTTATAAACTTTAAAATAGGTTTTTAATTGTTTTGATGCAGGAAATAGGAATGAATACCTATTGGTAAAAATAGCTATTATTGTAGTCGTAAGCTTAGGTGTTTGTTTTTGTTAATGGTTTTACGTTACAATTAGTGAAAATGAATTTTATAGGAGGACAAGGTGTATATTACAATAACTATATGTAATCAAATATTAAGGTAATTTGTGGTAGCTATGTTTGTAATATACTCTTAGTTATCTCACATTTCACCTAAATAAAAACGAATAAGTAATAATTTAATCTGTTTAGAACTACTATTTTTATTTTTATACAATGAAATATTTTAAATAAATTTGTTTTATATGATTTTGTTTAATATATCTATCTATACCTATATTTCCAATTTAAATCGCTAAATGTTGATGTTATTCATTCAGTTGTCATTTTTATTGACGTCAGTGTTAGGTATAAATTATAATTAATGAGATTGACGATGACAAAATTATTAAGGTGTTAAATCGAATTTTATATAACGAGCAAATGTATCATTATGACGTGTAGCGTGGCGTGGTCAAACTAATTGTTATATATCTGTTATAAATACAATTATTTTACTAATTTTACGGAATATGTATTAAATATAGGTACATATATAAAATACAATTATTTTTATTTTTTCATGATGCATGTCAAAACAAAATGTTTCTTTAAAGTCGCAAAGTTTACAATTTTTCTAAAAAAAAGTTAATGACCTTAAAGAGTTCTAGTTGCAAATTGCAATAGCCAGAGACAACAGAAAGAATATCTGGCAATACCTGTATTTGTTTTACACACTTTAGTCAATTCACTGGTGACCTCCCCAACAACATCCCCCCCCCAGCCCGTTAACCTTTTGTGTTTCAGAGACCGCCAGGATCAAGAAACGAAGACAACGACACACACACATACATACACACCCCCCTCCTTACCCCTCCCTTCCCGCGCTAGCCTAAGGGCCACCTTAGCAAAGCGCATCCCAGGCTGCATAGCCGCACTACCCTACCCAACCATACCACACATAAACATGACACTACCCCCGGGGTTTACACAGACGAGCCGGCGAAGCAAGAAGAGCGCCAGAAGAAAGGGCCCTAGCCGGCGGGGCCCAGCCAGGACAAAAGGAGGTCCCACAAAGCGCCTACACCGGCCGCATTTGCGGTCGGGGTAGACGACGGATGGGGCCCACCTACGAAGGCTGTCCAGGCCTACACGAGATGAGGCAGGATAAAGAGGGATAATCCCCCTCGATCCCAAATCATTGAGGCCAATTTCTAGCCATGGAATAATGGTGCGAGATATAAGAGTTTTGTAAAGGTTTAAGAAAAAATATGAGTAAATACATTTTCATGTTCATAGTTCAAAATCGCGCCGCCACAAGTTCAAGTGCAATTTTGTGTTCCACTGAAGTTACAATTTTCCTACACCAGAACAGTTTTATTGAAAACGAGGTTAGCGTCAGTGTTGCACGTAAAATTGTCAGTGGAAAACCCTATATACTTAAAGAAACTTTTGTTTATATTAGCTGTATTTGTTTTACCACTTGCATGGTTAGTTCAGTCATTCTCGTGCGAGCGGTCGAACTGAGCGGACGTGTTTATTGTGAAGTGAAGTGCATTGCATCGAGCAAGATCTACCTGCCTTTATTAAGGCTACCTGGAAAGAATCCCTTTCTTTCCTCTAAACCACCGTCCTAATCCCCGGCTTAAGCATAGAGGCCGTCGGCATCTTTGTTACAGGTATCTGTGCCGGGGTTATGCCCAGGTAAGTTTTTACTTTATTTATCAGTTATTTGCATTATTTTTGAATACATTTCTTTAAAATTGCGACCCCCGACAAACAATATACCAGACAGACTAATATACCAAAAGACACGTACGCCCCCGTAAGGGGGCATCCCCACACGACTAAAACCTACACACCCTCACACACACGCACACACACACACACNTATTACATTTACTTCCTTAGTCCTACATATAAAATTGTTTACTTTTATTTATAAGTACGTGAAAATAATTCTTAAAATGTGGGGTTAGGATAAACAGAAAACGCATGTTTTACAAACGCTTTTTTTTGTTATTATTTTATTTGGGTAAATTTAAATGGTAACAATGAATAAATAAAACATCAAGGATTTTATTTTTGTGCTTACTTTTGTTCTACACGTTTTACTTTTCAAGATTTCAGTACCTAAATATGCCAGAAATTTCACCATTTCTCGGCCAGGGATATGGCCACCTTAATCGTGGACATTATTATCGGATTGGTCTCTTACAGATATTTTATAGCATGTTTTTTTTATATTATCAAATAAACTGCAGAAACCATTATAATAAATAATTATATAATGAACTTTTTTTATAAAAAAAAGATTGTCAGTTGTGCCCGGCTTGAGCGAATAGTGGCGATTTTTTGAAATACTAAGTCTTGTTTAATAAATAAACCAGTCATTTAAAAAATGTCCAAAATTACGAACATGCATATGTATATAGTTTTAAAAGCATATAAATTTGTATTCTGTTTTATTGTATTTGAGCCTGCAAAATATTAAATAGGTTATGCAGATACTTACGTTA